TACTATATTATATTATATTCTATACTCTATTATATTATATTCTATACTATATTATATTATATTATATTATATTATATTATATTATATTATATTATATTATATTATATTATATTATGTTATGTTATGTTATGTTATGTTGTGTTATGTTGTGTTATGTTATGTTATGTTATGTTATGTTGAATTTTATATTATATTGTATTATGTTTTTGGAGAAGAACGCAATCCTTAGGGACTTCTCTGACGACCGAAAGCTGAGACTACGTGCATGTTTTCGGAATGTGACTCTTCAAGTACTGCCGAACGACGAACAGTCAACAACAGCAGAAACACCCTAGCCCTAACCTTAACAACAACAATTAGCAACATATGTAACATGGCAGTAGCGATAGTTGGAATACGAATGAAGCCGACAGTAAGTGCAAGAAGAAGGTATAATCACCACAGTTCTCGCCGCAATGCATCGCCTTCTCCCTTTTCACCGCGATGCGCTACTGGGCAGGTTGAGCCAGAAGGCGGCGAATGGGCACTGCAGCACATGGGAAGAAGATATGCCCGCTCCACAAGCTACACTTCACGGACTCGACCACATACCAAGATCATACAACAGGCTTCAAGGTCTGCGAAGCTGCGATGCCAAATAGCGCCTTGCAAAAAAGACCCGAGCTTTCTGGAGGCTTTTTGAAACGGATGCACTCCAATCTAAAGCTAGCGCCTTGAAAATCCTACGCTGCCGCTACTGGCTCCAGCAGCGACTGGCCACGGTGACACGGTGATGACCTAGCAGAGCTATGCTCTGAGTGTCATCTCCAGTTAGGCAAAGGCATTGGGTAGGGGCTGCCACCCATGGCGCCGAGGGGTCGCCCGGGAAGGAAGTAGCCGAAATCGATGGCATCTGGTGCCACCTCGTCACATTGGCAGGCTTATGCACGTGGAAAGCTGCGACCAGGATCAACAACAGATGCGCAACGAGCTGAAGAACCTCAACGAACCAAGTGCCCCGGCCAGCACGAACTCATGCTGCCAAAGTACTGATCGACCCTTCAGGCACTTTCTTTAGGTGCGTCGTCATGAACATGTTGCTACCGTTCCATGTCCAGCTCTCAACCTTTGCTAGCCTACCTGAAAACTTCGTAGGACTGCGGGTAGATGGCCACCGCCCACAGTCGGGCCTCTATCCTTTCCGAGCCGTCGAACAGGCAGACAGGTTAGCACAGTTTCACGACACCAATCTGGACGGAAGCTCTGAAGACTCCACAAAAACTCTCGAAGCTCCTGCCATGCCTCGTTGGTACAAGCTGGAATCCAGAGCCCCAAAGCCAAAACCAAACCCTAAAGGCCCTAAGCCTCAAAGGAAACGGGAGGAAGACGCTGACAAAAAGTTCGCCCCAAGGCGCGTGGAAAGCGCCTCTGATGCCCCAGGACTCACTCCAGGAGTTGATGGCCAGGATGTAACCGGGCCCGAAGCCCATGCCTCCAACAAAGCGCTCTTGGAGGGCTTTTGGCTAAGAAGCTGCGCGGCTTATATATATATATATAATACATATATGTTGTAAAACCCACCGTCTCCCCGACTTGGAGGATTATGGGACTTGGGAAGTCAAGTGACTAAGCACAGGCTCACTTCCGGTTCCGGTACCTATGGCCTTACACACGATGGGCCAGAGCAGGCGACTTGCGATGGGAGCAACCATGCCGGACCATGCCCCAACCGTAATAACGTCTATGGCCTAGTGCGACTTGGGAAGAGAGCATCCATCTGGACACCGCACACTCCATAAAACCTTCTCGAAAACCGGAAACATGGCGTCTGTAACATCGACCCGCACGGATCCGACCCTCTAATCTAGTCTACCTCTCCGCACCGCAGACAGACATCAACGAAGCAGAAACAGCGAAATCGCGTATCGGGGTTGTGCTCTAAACCCTTCCGGTGGTCACAGTGCTGCATTCCATATGATACCTATCTGTACACCCATCCCAAGGTGCAAATACATACCGACTGCATGACAAGATAGGCAGGCGAATGGGTGGACAAACAGAAAGACAGGGACCCGGCTCACTCCAACTCAACGAGTTGATATCCCTCTTAACTTGATTTCTCTCCAAGCTCTCCGAGCTATTTCTGGGGAGGGCAGAGGGGCTTCAAGGTTGGAGGTTTCGGGGGACAGCGTTTCAAACAGGAGCCTGCATGCGGGGGATTCGGGCTATGGTGTTCAGCGATTCGTGAGGTGGTCGAGCCCATGGCCTCTGGTCTATGAGCTGTCTTGAATCATGCGAATGCTCAGGGTGTGCGACACATCACAAAGTGCAGATGTCCCTTCTGCACTGCACAGAATTCAAACCTGACGGTCTGCAAACCTTTGGGATTTGAAAGGCTTCCGCACGAACAAGGGAATCACTCCTGACTCCCCTTGCCGTCTCGCCTGTGACGGCATGTCCTCCCATGTAGAGGTTCCAACTCTTGCGCACGGGCTTGTAGATACCTGGAGCTGTGGGAAGTTGCGGACTCTTGTGCAAGGAGTGAGCGCGGGGACAGAGCAGACAGCGGAACCCCATCGTCTAGGCTGCTCTGCTCTCCTGCTTCTGCTGGATTTAGAGCTCGCCGCCACAGCTGTCACAGTGAAACCAGATGTGGTAAGGCTTTGAGGGGAGTAAGAGTTGAGCTCCAAGGCTTTAGGACGCGCGAACTGCCGACAAGCACGATTTGAGGGTTGTCCTATCTCTGTAGGTTGGCACCATCCCGCGGCAAGGTGCACACCTGAATGCAAAAACCACGGGCGTAAAGGGCTCCGAGAGCAAGTGCACGATGCGTCTTCACAGCTCTTTACAGGATTACAACTTTCACAGGATTACAACTCGGCAAGCTCACAACAGGCACGCACTTCTACAGCACGGCCTCGACCGGAGGGGGGAAGTCTGGACATTCAAACACACGAGCGACTGCGATCCGAGTCCGATACCTGACTGGTAGGCATAGAAGTCCTGCTGTAGCGGCCGGGCTCTTTGCAGGATGTGACGTGGGTCTCTCAGTCTAGCTACGGATCCTAGGCATTCCGATCGTTGCTAGCTGAAGGAGGCAGATTCAGCACTCTCAAGCGCTCTCATGGTCCTGGTAGATTCGCATCCCCAATAGGATTGGACCCTCCGTCATGAGCGCCTGCAGCGAAACACCGATCTGGTAGCGCTTCTAAGTCGGTCACCAGCATGTGGTGGTGTCTCAAAGGTGCCTGGGCCCTGCATCGATCGAAGGTCTAAACTTACGCATCAGCCCCGACCTGTCATGCTGTGCATGTCCCATTTTGCATGTATGTATGTTCTTTCGCTCTGTGAGTCGTGAGGGACATGATTCGTTGTTTAGTCTGCCACCGGTCAAGGTGACCACCTGCACTACATGAATCAACGAAAGCTGACAGTACAAACTCAATATTCACGGTGATCGAGCAAGAACATCATGCGTGGAGGGTGTAACGTCTTCATGTTTGTTGAGACCTTCAATAAGCCAGATGATCTCGCACACATCCACGTCTGAGAGTCTGCGGCAATCACTGCCCACATCCGAACCTCAACCGTTCACAGACTCAAGTTGAATCAAACCCACCGAACTGGGAAGCCTTCAATCCCAGGCCCACAAGCCCATGCCCTGAACCCTCACCCCCAAAAGCCGAAAGCCCTCAACCCCAAACCAAAACCCCAAAACCCCACGACCCCAAAACCCCACGACCCTAAACACCCCTACAACCCCAAAGAGCCCAAAGAGCCCCAAAGAGAGACCCCGGCCTTCTGCACCATGTAGGGCACCTGGGAGCCGACGGGATGTAGCGGCCGGGGCTCGTATTGAACCTCGGCCCCAAGAAGAGGACTTACCGGACGGGGGGGTTTTGGGCTGGTCTATTTTGGAGGGTGGTGTTTTTCGGGGGGATTTGGGTGGTAGGAAGTTTGAGGGGCTTTTTGAGGCGTAGGAATTGGGAATCGGGGCTTCAAGATTTAGCTTCGGGGTTTGCGTTTAGAGTTTGGGGGATGCCCTTGAAGGGTGATATGCCACCTGAAGTGTTTGCGGATCACGCTCAGAAGCTAAAGTTAGCCTTGATGGGACACACCCTGCCAAGTAGGGCCGGCGCAGCCCACTGCGAATGCTCGGGCCGCAACGTAAAAGAGGTCTTGACTCAGCGGCCGCGGATACCTTTCCGGAAGTCAAGAGTAAGCACTGCCTCTCAGTTCCTCTGCACCAACGAGCCTGTGCTATGATGGTCAATGCGAGCCATGCAAAGCCATTATAGTCCTTCGAACTCCATGTGGAAACACTTTGCAAGGGGTTGAGGCTGGCATCACGTGGCGCCTGGTATATGGAGAACAAGCGCCCGGGCAGCGAACTTGCGTGTCGTGCGGCTGCACTTGTGGGTAGCAGGTCTGCACCCCGGCCTGCGTGGAAAGTCAGGGGACCCAGCAGCCTTTGAGTCAAATGTCTATGGATAGATCTGTTGCATCCCACACCCGAAGAGGGGTCAACACCCCGACTTTGAACCGCAAAAAAAAGAAGAATGTTTCCACCACCCAAGAATCTGTCGCCTGCATGTTTCCACGATAATCCGGGCCACCGGTGGGGACTCCCCACCTCTCATGGCATGGCTTCGACTGCAGAGTTGTGTGGGGCTTCACGTAAGCGCGCTCGCAGGTTGCTCAAGACGTGTCATTCCGTGTACTGTGTGTTGCTTGTGATGCGAGTCCTCTGGAATCTGTGGGAGGAACTCTACACACAACACCTGCTCATTGAGGCCGGATCTGTTGGAAACGACATTCCCGCAACTGTACAAGTCCACGCCAATTCCTACATTTCTGCAGATGCCCCAGAAGTTGTCTTTCATCTCCTCATCCGGGGGCTGTGAAACTAGCGGATGGCACAACACTTCCCCAAAGTCCAAACAGCGAGTAGCCAAACCGTCTCAGCCGAAGTTCGTTCCTGATCCCTGAACCCAAAGCCCAAGCCCGAGACCCTGAACCCCAAACTTTTTCGCAAATCTTCCTTAATCTTGCCAGCCTAGGCTGACTTCAGCTTCATGGAGGGATGGAGTGGTGTTCGGCCAAGTTTCCCACATGAAGGTTTTGGTCCAAGATTTGGCCCTAACATCCCACAACCCGAATCTTATACAGACCTTGCCAACAACGGTTCAGATTTAGGGTTTAGGATTCAGGGATTAAGGCCTAGAGTTCACATCTCTCCTCTATGATCTCTGCAAAGTCTATCGTGCGAGAAAGCCCCTCCGAAATCTTCCTTATCTGCTCCTCCCTCTGTATGGCAAGAGCCTCCAAGACTCCTTGTGATTGTTCACACATGTTCCGCTTAAGTTATACTTGTTACCCTTACACCCCACAAAAACAAACAAGAAGCTTCAAATCCGCTCCAAAAACTCTTACGTATCAATCCTCTTTATGAAGGCCACGGCCGAATGATGTATAAACAGACCTGTTCAACGAAACCGCAAAGGTGGCCAAAGACCGCCAAGGCTCCGCGAGACCGTTCGAAAGCCCAGCAGGCCGCTCCCACCAAGGCAGTAGTCGTGGCCATCGGTCCTTTTTGTAGGAGCTGCTGGTTATGAGCCGGGGTCAGGGCCCAGTTAAAGTTTGTTGAAGGACCCGGGGACTCGACTAGCAGTTTAAAAGTAGGGCCGTAAACAAGTCACAAGCGATCCAACTGATGGTGCTTGGACCTCAGCGAAACCTACTTTGTGAGTCCTATGACCCTTCAAGCAAACCCTATTCTCAGGCATCTACGACAGAAGTTGTACACCGCCAGGTATCCAGACATAAAGATGCAGGTAAGGCATAAGACATCACATATAGGAGTTCAGAAATAGTTCAGATATAGGAAAGCTTCATCGACGTCGGGATGAAGCGCGAAAAGCTGGGTCCGGAGCTTTGGGTTTTGGGGGGCGGGGGGGTTCAGATTGTAGGATTTTGTGCTTCAACCTTTATGTCGAAGTTTATGGGGCTTCGCAGGTTTGGCAATCCTGTTTGTTGCGCGACTGGTACTTGTTACGGGCTGCAGCTTCTGGTTCAGACTTTGCGCCTGTCGGCTTCACACTAGAGGGAAGTAGGGCTCAGCATCATACTCCTGAATGCCCCAAGCATCTAAAGGCCCTACACCTGAAGCCTGTCCTGCACGCCGCGATGAAGGACTGGCTCAACCAAGCCTGAGGGCCGTTAAACCTCGGCGACAGCGGGAGATTTGGTAGGAGGATTGGGAATGATATGGGAACCTGGTTAGGAAACCTTGGGTCTTCATTAGGGTTCCTTATATGAATCCTATTATTTTGGCGGTTTCTTAATCAGGCTCCGAGATTAGGGCCTTTAGAGCTCAAAGTCTAGGGAATTTTTCTCAGAGACACTAGTTTTCCTCTGCGAGGCGAAGATGATACATCCCTAAACCCCAAACCCTAAACCCTAAACCATGCATGGAGACTTGTTTGTGGGGGCTTCTGCAGGGACTCTTGCGTGGGGTGGCCCTCGAAAGCCACTGAAAGATGATAGCGAAGGACGATGACGTGATGGCACTGGTTGATGCCATATGCTGTTGATATGTGTATTTACATATATGACAAAAACACATGTAAAAACGTTCGTGCGCGCATGCCGATATAGATCGATGCAAATGTAGATATGGATGAAGACATTGACGTTAACATGTAAATGTAGAAAGCCATCACCAGTCAAAAGCCCAGCACCTGTCGAAGCAACTTGTGGAAAAGATGTGAGGTCTGGTGGAAAACTGGTTGATGCTCCTCCCTCTGCTTGGGGACCTGGCTGCTGTCCTTTCTATGCAACGCCATGTTGCGAACTCAGAGGTGGCGTTCGGCTGGGTTCCAAAATCGGTCCAACGATGCCTCGCCTAAATCATATGACAGTACATGTCTTCTGCCATCCAAGGGCTAGCGAAGCGGATGTCGCCAGCGTAGGTATTTCACTGAAATAACCCATGACAGGGTAGCAATCTGGCGAGGCTTTTGCCAGCAGCACTAGACCCCGTTTGAGGCACCCCTGCTGCATGGTACTAAGGCTTCCTTGGCAACCAACAAGCCTTACATCAAAACTTTGCTGGTGCCAGGCCACTTGCCGTGGGTCTGGATGCATAGCCGGCTCTCGGTAATCAAGGCAGTACTGTGGCTCCAGCAATTGTTGCCTTGAAGTGCAGGGCTGTGACATGTCTTGCCCATAGGGTAAGCTCCTAGGCCCCAGTCTGAAACAAGCGCTTCAGCAAGCAGCCACATGAGTGCCCCTCCAAGTTAGGATCCCTTTGGGGGTCCCCGAAGGAATTCAAAGAAGGAAGCGAGAGGACCGAGAGGGATCCTAATGAACTACGAGAACACCTACATGGAAGAATGACCAACGATGAGGCCCAGTAGCACGTCTGGTAGCGCACATGTGTCGTGACGGGCTTGCACTCAGGCCAGTTTTCCCTCACGTCGAATTCCTCTGAAAAAGCCTCGGAGTGACAGGGGGTCACGCTGCCGACAAGAGGATTGGGGTGAAGTGCTCTGTTCCTACATCTCTCCTGCAATTCTGCAGCACAGAGCAGGATTTTCTCCATGTCTGCCTTACTAAAGAACGTCTCCGGGCTCAGGAAACTCTGGGAGTCGACAAACCCTACAGCGACCAGTAGTACTCATGTTAACTCTTGATTAATAAACCCC